ACTAGTTGCTTCTTTCAAGAGCTTTTAGTTACATCATACTGAAGGGTTCAGCTCTGAGGATTTTTCAGATCACTATAAAATTTAAAGCGCGCTTTTCACATTATTCTTATTAGTAAGTACATTTACTAATTTACAATATGTTATTTAAAATAATTAGCTAAAGTTACAACTTTTTTATTTGATCTCACTTTTCTTTTTATTGATCAAATCACGAAATGTGATAAATTCCTGTCGTAAATGATGCTGAGTGAGTCACATGTCAGCGCTCCCTGCTGCTCGTCCACATAGCTCACCTTCATCACTCCTTCCATGGGAAGGAAGATCCAGAGCTAACCGGGAATCTTTTAAGAGGACGTAAGACTTAAAGCAAAGTCTGACAACACCTTTTAGCCTTCCTAAGGAAAACACAGCAAAGAGGAAGCCGACTGCTAATGTAGTCATCTTACACTCACTACCCACCCCAGTAGGAGCTAAAAATTCTCCCGAATGCCTCCAGGGAATTCAGACAAAAGAGCAGAGAGTGCTGAGCCGATCGGGAGAAGCCTGGAGTTGAATCAGCTCCGTGTGTCAATTCCTGACTGAACCAAATGCATCGTCCGGCATGAATAATGTCCTCCAAACCACCAGCTCATAACCAGCTCTGGAAACACCAGCCTTGTTTTCTTTTGAAGATCTGTGGAATTTTCAAAACACTATTCCCATTTTTTTGTTGCTGGAAAAAAATGCATATTATAGACAAACCAGTTACACAAGCCAAATTATATATGTATAATAGCAACAATAAAGAAATTAAAGTGTGTTATTAATCATTTAGAGGTCATTACAATAGTTACGTTTTTAATTCAAATGTGTTTAATTACTTATATTTGGAAAAACACCACAGGACAAGTGATTGAAAACTCATTTTTCGTAGAATGAAGATATTTTTACTGGAATATAACAAAAGATGAGAGCACAGCTGCTGCGCCTCGTCATAACAACGCTGTATCTCTGCTTTGCAACAGAAAATGCTTCTGAACTCAGTTGTGAATATTCTGTGTGATTTTTTACACATCAGCTGACATCTTGTCAAAAGAAAAAAAATACACAAAGATAGCTGTTCGATCTATCAGTTCACTAGAAACCTAATTATAACCAAATGCGACGAGAAGCAGGGATGGAAGCATTCAGATAAAAAGACATATTTAGTGAAGATTTGAGCTCTGAACTGGATTTGTAAATCTAAATTTAGCAGGAGCACAACTGGACTCGTGTGACATTCAGGGACCATAAAAGCGATCAGGGCCTGAGAGTAACAGCATTTGCTTGGGATTATGAGCAACCAGCCCTGCTTTAGACGAGGGACACACCCTCTCCTGCAGCTGTCTCACATGCAGTATTTGCAATCTACCATCAATGACTTAATCAGTTTGGGCCCGTGGAACCTTCAGTCGGCTGCGGTTCTTTCTAAAACGAGGCCGGAGGGAATTTGCACCCCAGTCTTTAATGAAAGCAAACACATTTCGGTGCTATTTTGTACATATGACTGTAACTAAACACAAATATTAGTTTTAAGGTGGGATGTCATTACATTTTTTTAGGTTAGAATACATTTTCACCACTCAAATAAGCATCCGCATCCTCGTCGTCCGTCATGAGTCAAATACTTTAAAGGGGACATATAATGCAAAACTTACTCATGCCATGTGGGTCGCTTCTGTCGTTGTAAACATTCTAAACGTGAAAAAACAATCCATCCTTTTATTTCCCGTCAGTGTTTGGTTTTAGGAATCATGTGCCTAAAACAAGCCGTTTAAAAGAATAAATCTCCGTTTGTGATGTCACAAGCAGGTAAAGTAGAATAAAACCACCTCTCATGTGTAAGAGAGCTGGAGGAGCAGTGGCTCTACTCTGAGCCCCTCTTGGGTATTGGAGCTTCTCAGCCTATAGCAGCCTGAGTGATGGCTGGGTGGGTGTGGCCAACTTCATCTTGTTTTCCTACAATGACCGAGCCCTGAAACGGCTAATTCTGGAAGGTACTGAAACTGTCAAGAATAAAACTGTTGACCACTTAATGTGAGAGGGATTTTGTGTAAAGAACTTCATAAACATGGTCAATATCGACCATTTAATAACTATTGTAACTTAAGAAAAAAACAATCAAGAATATTTCTTTGTCATTAGCATCCCGGTACAATGAAATTACAGGTCATAATAGGTCTTCTTTAACAAAGTAGAGTCACGTCAACTTAAAATATTAGTAAAAGAGAGAAAAGCTGGAACTTCTTTCTTGAAATTTCATCATGAATCCAAACTCTTTTACTTCCATTGAACCAAGAAAACAGCTTTTACAGTTGTTTTAGTTCATTAGTGGCACCCACAAATGCTGCATACAGAGATGAATTAAGATTAATTAATTCCACATCATGTTGCTCTCTCTGTTTATTCAGCAGACTCACCCGTGTTGAGGCTATCATGACATTATCCTGACTGAAAACCAAACCCCTCTAGCAGAGTTTCAGCGTTTGTACCCGACTTTGTCAAACACAGCTGAGGGTTGTGGGTGAATGAAGCTGTGTTTGTGAAAGGCAGCTACCTGAGACGAGATTAGGGCAGCATCGTGATTAAGAGCTGCTGTTGTTAGCGCAGTGCTGTTGTAATCTCAGAGCGGAGCACCAACACGCGCGCACACACACACACACACACACACACACACACACACACACGCACTTGTGTGCAGTGGGACACTATTAAAATCCTATGGACACATTTCAATTTTGCATAAACTCTCTAAAGTTGTCGGCTGTTTACATGAAGTTTGGACATTAAATGTATTTTTATAAACTTTTAAAAGATGCACACTGTGTTTGTTGTGTAAAAAAGTAATTTGTTTGTTATTTGATGTAATATATATTTTGTTCTCACTGCCCTTCCAGTCATGCAGGTCTCTCTAGAGAGATTTTAATCTAAATAAATGGGTTTAACCAAATGATAATAATAATAATAATAATAATAATAATAATAATAATAATAATAATTTTAACTCTAACTTCCACATAAAAAATAAACACAAAATAAATTACTTTTGCATGTTTTTTATTCATTTGGACCAATAAAGGTTTTAAATCAATGTAATGCAATAATATTGTGAAAATAATGATTATTTTTCATTAAAGTAAAATCAATTAAAGTTTAGCTTTTAATTTAAAGGTTTTATTTTATTTCTTTAGCTCAGTAGGTTGTTTCTTTTTCTGGGTAATTTTGATTAAGGCTTCAATAAGAACCTGCACATCAAAAGGTTTAAAAAAACATGACAATTTGACACCTTAATAAAAAAAGTGTCCTGTTAAAACCTACAAGTATGAATATTTTGTTTTACTCATTAATTAATAATGTTGTGCACAGTTGTCCGATTAACCTTTAGTCAACCTAATTTTAGACAGCAACAGTGAAAAGACTATAACATGGTCAGCTTTGCTGACGCTGATCTAAAACTTAACACTTTAGTAGATCAATCATTCATATTCTGAGAGCTAACAGAGATCTTGCGACATTGTGTGACATTTTGCACAAAAAAGCTAAAATAATAAATTTACTCTAAGATTGTTGGGCAACAACAACAAATATGTATAATTCCCTTAAAGGAAAGCTCTAGGCTTTTAATTTGTGAAGTTTATATCATTTCAGATGATATGCACTCTAAGAAGTGTTGAATTAACTGAACCAAGTTAAGTCAACTGATTCCACTTAAACCAAAGTAATACACATTGTTATATGTTGTCATGTTAAGTACATGTATATTACTCTTTACACTTAAGCTATAGGTTTCATGGAACCAGTTGACTTAACTTAGTTAATTCGACGTTTCGTTTCTTAGAGTATAAATGGGATGTTTTGAAAAATAAACACCAAACAGAACAAAATCTTCTGAAACTGCTTCAGCCTGATAACGAGTCTCCCTGATCAGGTGTGTGTTGATAAAAATCACAGGGGTCCGAGCAGGTGACCCCCACCCACTTTGCCAAAGCCTGGGGGATCGGGGGCCCTGAGCCTGTCGTTATGCACCCATTAGCTGCAACAACAGGGAGGATAAGGCAGCCTGAATTGAAACACATTCACACCAATTACTCAGGATTCTCCCGCATGGCCCCGAGGCACAGAGATGTCACGGAAACACAGCTTTCGTTATTTTACCCCCAAAGTGAAGCTGAGTGGACAGGAAACACAAAGCAAAGCAAACTTCCTCCGAAATACTGTGGGAAGAAGAAGTGACCGTGTTTAATTTTGAGACCCCTGCTTGTTTTAACATGAAAGAAAATCCATCACGAACAAAGCGCACGGGTGTATGCACACCTCTGGAACATGTTTCCTCTGAAGTGCTAAAAATGGACCGTGAGGTCAGGGTGGTTGACCCCTCAGAGGAGAACCTCTTCCTTTTGAAATAGGGGAAATCTCTATTTATAAAGCCACTGTGTTGTTGAGCCATAAATACTCTAAATCATCCGCAAGGTTCGGTTTAGTCTCCTAAAGATTTTTGCCTGATAAGTTTGATTGATGTGGAAGCAACAAGCTGGCCTGAGAGGTTAGATCATAGGAATAAATCCTGACGCCGTGGCTGCGCTAACAGGAACAGATGCTAGGTTTGGTTGGGAGTTTACATCATAAATGAACCATCAAAATTTGGTAAATATAGGTGTGACTGGATTTTAATGACGCCTAGCATTAATCAGAGGGTCTAAATCATTTACAGACAGGATGTCCGCTGCATAAACTTCGCTCCCACGCTGAGAAAACAAGGCGCCATGCGTAACGGGGACGCTCAGATTACCTCCAGTCCTGTGCGGGTCAGGAAGTCGGGTCGCGGGCCTCTGCTGCCCCGCTTCCAGGTGAGCAAATGCTACTTCTGGGAAAACAAAGGCAACGAAAAACCCCACATCGAAGCATTTGTTCTGACGTCATGTCTAGAGTCATAAAATGTCACAACTGTATCAAATGAAAATCAATAAACACCAAAGACAAAATCTCATTAGCAAATATTTATTTCTCAAAAGTGCAAAAGTATAAAAAATTCAGTATTTACATACAAATGCAAAATAGTGACATAAAAATACAAATGAAAACACAAAACAGACTCACATCCCTGCAATTAAAAACCAGTGTTAAGAAAAATAATATAAAAACATTACAGCTTTTTTATTTTAGGTACAGAACAAAGTCTTCACTGCTTAGAAAATCTCAGGAGTCTTCTCTGTCCAAGAGTGAAAAATAAAAACAAAACGTTTTGTTCATGTTTAGCTTGAGTGGTTTGAGGTTAGATCATGAGTCCTTGCAGCAGGCGAGAGGTTAGGAGCTGTTGTAGCTGCAGTAATACACGGCTGTGCTGGCGTCCGACAGCACAGAGGAGATCAGGCTCTCAGGTCCGCTCATGCTGATCTCGTGAGGCCCGTACGGCAAACCTGTCATGTCCACACGTGCCGAGGAGGAGCTGAGGTACTGCTCAAACTCGCTGCGGTCCACCTCAGCCAGCAGCTCGGAGGGGTGCATCTGCTCCATGCTGTCTGCTGAGTGGGAGTGGGAGTCAGGAGGTGGGGATAGCTGTCCTGCCCCACCAGGGTGCCGTTTGGGGTGGCTGGAGTTGCAGTGTTGGGTGTAGTACATGGCTAAAGGGTTGGGGCATCCCATGTAGGAGGGAGGAGGCTGTTCTGGAGCGGAGGCTGGGTGCCGGTGCATGATGGGATTACTGTGGTGGTTGGAGAGGGCTTCATGAGGTTGGAAATCAGCCACCTGAGTGTGGTAAGGGTATGCAGGCATCATGTGACAATCCTCCTGGGAGTGAGGGGTGAAGAACATAGAGTCAGAGTCTACGGCGTCCAGAGGAGATGTGTCAGGGGTGGGGAGGCTGTAGGTTTCATACGAAGGGCCCCCGAGAGCCTGAGCATCCCTGTAGTGGCCCAGTTGCTGTGGGGGAACCTGGAAGCCGCCGTGCTCATGGAAACCAAGACCCAGACTCTCCACGCAGACCCGGCTGTCCCCGGGCATCGGCTGGGCCTGGTGGTCGCTATGGACCAGAAAACCAGAGTTAAGCCTCTTGATCCTCTTCCCTGGTTTCCTCCGGGGCCGGTACTTGTAGTTGGGGTGATCCTGCATGTGTTGGACCCGCAGTCGCTCGGCCTCCTCCACAAAGGGCTGCTTTTCTGTGACAGGAAGAGCTTTCCATGATTTCCCTGCAGGTCAGGAGGACACAAGACATCAGTGACATGTCAGCAGATACTGTACTCAGCCTGGTCATGCACATAAAAATAGCATAGTGCCATTTCAGGGGACAGATCCGGGATTTGGAGGTTAAACCTGCAGCCCAGAGTAACTCTAAGCACTGAGAAATACTTTTAAAGTTGTTTAAAAGAGTCAAACTAAATAAATTAAAAGTACAATAAGAAAGTATGTGAAAGAAAACTTGTCAGAAAGTACTCACCCAGCATTTTGCTGAGCTCTGCGTTGTGCAGGTCCGGGTTCTGCTGCGCCAGCCTCTTGCGCTCATCCTTCGCCCACACCATGAACGCGTTCATGGGTCGGCGGATCCGCGGTTCGCTCTTTCCGCGGCTCTGGCTGCCCGATCCAGACGGCTCACTTTTCACCACCTTTGCGTCCCCGAGAGGACTGAGAGGGTCGGCCCACTGGCAGTGTCCCATTCCAGGCATCATGACTGACATCGCACACCTTGCCTGGGTCTGATCGTCGCTGGCGTAACCCGCATCGGGACTGCTCATTTCTGTTGGACCGGCACCGGGCAGCGCACAGGAACCACAAGTGAACACCACCTGGAGGAGGGGAAAGGAGTTCTAAGTCTTTCTAGATGTAGATCAAAAGCGCAGCAAGTCACATCCACGTGCCTCTTCCAGGAGCGAGAAGAAGTGAAAAGGTACAAGACAAGAGTGCGCGTGAGAGTCAGTGCGCTATAAACTACCAAACAGCCAATCAGCACGCGGAGGAGTGCCCACTACTACAAAGGTGTAAAAAAGTTCTGCTCACCCAGCTCCCGAACCTTTCTGGAGCCCAAAGGGGCTGAGATGTTTTTGTGCGCAAAATTGAAAGGACATGATTCAATTAGCAAATCTCTTTGCGTCCAAATGAGATAAAAGGCATCATTTCCCCTCATGCGCTTTTTTAGTTTACACACACGCACACGCCTGTGTGTATTGGGCTCCTGAGCTCCTGGCTGGTCGTCTGGACTGGAGACGGTATACGGTGGCTGGCGCTGAATAAAAGGCGATAATTAGGATGACTGAGACCCAAATTAACAAGAGAGGAATCTTAAATAAACAAATTCAGACCTTTGACTCTGGAAAAAAGCAAAATGTTGATGCAAGCGCGCGCGCCCCCCACCTGTGACGTTTAAATATCAATGCAGATCTACGCACGTACATTATCTCTGGTTGTGTGAGTCGATTTGAGATTGCGTTCATACTTCAAATAAGCCACATTTGATCAGATAAAGGAACTTCTTTGGTCCACACTCATGAAAATGTTTTATTCATTCAGGAATGTAAAAATATTTAAAATTCCACATTTCTGTTTCTGATTTTTGAAGACCTCTTATGATGAATTATATAAATGGGAACCGTGTTCCCTCGCCTGGACGTGGGTCACCGGGACCCCCCTCTGGAGCCATGCCTGGGGCGCCTCAGGGGGGAAAGCAGTGCGCTACCAACACTATCTAGTTGATAGTAGGGATGGTGTGCTGCTGACCTCTACTCAGGACGTTGTGGATCGGTGGGCAGAATACTTCGAAGACCTCCTCAATCCCACCGACACATCTTCCAGTGAGGAAGCAGAGTCTGACTTTGGGTTGGCCTCTCAAATCTCTGGTGCTGAGGTCACTGGGGTGGTTAAGAAGCTCCTCTGTGGCAAGGCTCCAGGGGTGGATGAGATCCGCCCAGAGTTCCTTAAGGCTCTGGATGCTGTGGGGCTGTGTTGGCTGACAGGGCTCTGCAATATCGTGTGGACATCGGGGGCAGTCCCACTGGACTGGCAGACCGGGATGGTGGTCCCCTTATTTAAAAACGGGGACCGCAGGGTGAGTTCCAACTACAGGGGGATCACACTCCTGAGCCTTCCTGGTAAGGTCTGTTCAGGGGTTCTGGAGAGGAGGGTCCATCGGATTGTTGAACCTCAGATTCTGGAGGAGCAATGTGGTTTTCGTCCTGGCCGTGGAACACTGGACCAGCTCTATACCCTTAGGGGTATCCTGGAGGGTGCGTGGGAATTTGCCCAACCAGTCTACATGGGTTTCGTGGATTTGGAGAAGGCGTTTGACCGCGTCCCTCGGGGGGCCCTGTGGGGGGTACTCCGGAAGTATGGGGTACCAGGCCCTCTGATACGGGCTGTTAGGTCCCTGCATGACCGGTGTCAGAGCTTGGTCCGCATTGCCGGCATTAAGTCGGGCTCGTTCCCAGTGAGAGTTGGACTCCGCCAAGGCTGCCCTTTGTCACCGATTCTGTTCATAACCTTTATGGACAGGATTTCTAGGCACAGCCAAGGTGTGGAGGACATCCATTTTGGTGGCCTGAGGATCAGGTCTCTGCTTTTTGCAGATGATGTGGTCCTGTTGGCTTCATCAGAACGTGATCTTCAGCTTTCACTGGAGCGGTTCGCAGCCGAGTGTGAAGCAGCTGGGATGAGAATCACCTCCTCTAAATCTGAGACGGAAAAGGGTAGAATGCCTTCTCTGGGTCAGGGATGAGGTCCTGCCCCAAGTGGAGGAGTTTAAGTATCTCAGGGTCTTGCTCACAAGTGAGGGAAAACTGGAGCGTGAGATCGATAGGTGGATTGGTGCTGCATCTGCAGTGATGCGGGCGTTGTACCGGTCTGTCGTGGTGAAGAGAGAGCTGAGTCAGAAGGCGAAGCTCTCAATTTACCGGTCGATCTACGTTCCTACCCTCACCTGTGGTCATGAGCTTTGGGTAGTGACCGAAAGAATGAGATTGCGGATACAAGCGGTCGAAATGAGTTTTCCCAGAAGAGTGGCTGGGCTCTCCCTTAGAGATAGGGTGAGAAGCTCGGTCATTTGGGAGGGGCTCGGAGTAGACCTGCTGCTCCTCCACATTGAGAGGAGCCAGTTGAGGTGACTTGGGCATCTTTGTCAGGATGCCTCCTGGACGCCTCCCTGGTGAGGTTTTTCAGGCCAACCGGGAGGAGGCCTAAAGTAGACCCAGGACACGGTGGAGGGACTATGTCTCTCACCTGGCCAGGGAACACCTTGGGATTCCCCGGAGGAGCTGGCCCAAGTGGCTGGGGAGAGGGAAGTCTGGGCCTCTCGCCTTAGGCTACTGCCCCTGCGACCCGACTCCGGATAAGCGGATGAAAATGGATGGATGGATGGATGGATGGGATTTTTGAAGATATAATTATTTTTTGTCATTAAGTAAAGGGCTTATCTCAAATAGTTAGTTTTCTTTTCTATTTTTCCTCGGCGTTCTCCTCTGAGACTTTAGGAGCATCACAGGGTCCAATCTCAGGGGTCGAGGACCAGCACTGGTCTATGGATCATTTTGTTTCAGGTCCCACAGAATGAGTAAAAACTCAGGTAAAAAGTAATAACACTTCATGTACTTTTAAAAAAAGTTAATCAATGATATCTAAGTAATTTTATTTTGAATAAAATTGTTATTCAATAGGAATAAAGTGCATAAAGTGTGGTTATAATCAGGGTTGGTGCATGGGAAACTGGTTCCAAACTGGTTTGTGATGCCAACAGCTCTTTAGGGCTACTGATCTGGATGACATGAGCAACAAGTCAAATAGAAACTAGGAGTAACTCCACACAGAATCTGTTTCCTTGATGTTCTGGGTCAGTTTTCCCAGATCTGGATGAAGTGAAAAGGTTAAATCAACCTGTTGCACCTCAAACCTCCAGTCAGACTTGGCCTGTTTACGCTATAGAGAATGAAGCCCCCGTCTGTCTGAAATCCAAACATCACCCACGCAGGGCAGTCCAGTTCCTTATCAGGACCAGCAGACCCCAACCTGTCAGCTCGGCCTTTTCTCAGACCGTTCCCATCTTGTTGTGGTCTGCAGTCGTGTCAAAAGGGGCTGACAGAAATATGAGAGATGCTTAGGCAACCTTTTCATGCCCCCAGCAGACAGCAGCAGGGACTCGGTGCTTGTCCTCTGGGGGGGTCAGAGGGTGGGTGTGTATTGGACTGAGGTCCAGCCCGGCGCTGTATGGGTCAGGATCTGGTCCATAATACTGTCATCGTCTATTTTACCACCGATGACCTGATAAGGTTTTTCCCCTCTCGTCATTCCTGAGGGAGAAGAGAACGCGGGTCCCTGTATGTGTGTGTGTGTGTGTGTGTGTGTGTGTGTGTGTGTGTGTGTGTGTTTGCAGTGCGTGTGTGGATAAGGGCGTTGGTCTGAGTGTGCCTCCTGCTCTGTATGGGAGTGAAAAATCCTGGCTTTTGATGGGAGAAGTCATAAAGTCTGGAGTCGTAGCCACACTTCCTCTACAAGGTGAGGTTCAGAGTCGACCCAAAGGAGGGGAGGGGTTGGTGTGTGTGTGTGTGTGTGTGTGCAAAGGGAGATGAGAAGTGGTGACATGCCTCATATCCCTTCTCCGTGCCCCCCTCCCCTCGCCTGCACCTCCACTTCTTCCCCCACCCCGTGCCTGGGGAGTCTGGGGCTGGGTGGGGGCCGGGGCTCTCGACGCCAGCCTCTGGACTCCGCGCTGAGGGAGAGGTCACTTGGCTTGCTTACACAATGGCATTATCTCAGTTCCAGCCTCGGCTACTGCAGCGGTGAGCACTTCCTGTCACTCTGCAAGCACTTCCTGTCCTTGGCGTTAGCAGCACAAATTGTCCGCCTTCCAAGCGAGTTCTGAAACACGGTGGGGCTGCTGGTCGCCAGTCTCGCTGTGTAAATGTCTGTGGGTGGTTTTCTTGGGAATTGTGTTTGTACGGCAGTGTGGAGCAGACAGAGTCGGTCTGAATCAGAGGAATGGAAAGTATATATGTGTTAACACTCTGCCGGGTTCTCCCGGGCCGCTCCAGCTGCACAGAGCTCAAACATTACTCTCCTAATTAGCTGCAAGCGCTGAAGATGTTCGTTTTCTTTCTTCTAATCTAAAAGGATTGATGATTAGCAATATTTCTGACATTCCCAACTCCTTAGATGGGAAGAATCTTTGCTTATAAGCTAAATCATACATAGTTCTGCTGCAATCGGAATGTCTTCTGTGAGAACTTATGATATAGAGAACAAACCAACTAAGTGAGGTTAATATAAAGATTCGAAAGGTTTAATTGGCTGACCTCTAACCCTAACCAAAGTTTATTTCTGCACCCTGGAACTCTCTTCTTGGTTGATTAAATCCATCATTGTCTTGGATTGGGATTGCTTTCCAAGAATCAAGAAACAGTAGTTTATATCTTGGATCATTTTGTTCCTGGTTTATAAAATAATCAAATATACAAACGAGGCTTCAACCTGTTGACAACTGACATGGGAATCAACGATAATTGGATCTGGAACATTTTCGATCCGTGCCTTGAAGCTTGAACCTCGTCTCCATCCTTTTGCTTTGCTGAGTTGAACTAAGTCATTTAGTCTCTTTCATCCATCAATCATTACTTAGATTATCTGATTAGACCACGACTTCCTCCAACACTTGCTGTGGAGAACAGGAGGTGTTTCAGGATGGGGGAGTCAAGGGTGAGGGGTCGCAGCTCCTCGGTGGGGAGAGGAAGCACAGAGCAGGTGTTTTCTAAGAGCAACAACATCTTTTGAAATAATGATTCTGTAATTAGAAGTGACACGTTTTTCTTCGGTTTTGACACTAGTGACATCATCGCTCTCATCTTTAGCTGTCAGTCTTCACATCCCTACAGGAGCCCCTGGGACCTGAAGAGTGTCCAGTCTCAAGCTTCACCCACTCAAAACTGCTG